GGCTGAACAAGAGGTAGGACTGAGTGGACTTCTAGACTGTAAAGTTTTACGTTGTTTTGGTTTTGAGTGCAGATATGGAACAAAAAAAATCTACATTTGTAAGCTGCAATTTCAAGCTAGAGATTGCACTATGTTACTTGTATTAGATGAACTGAAAAATACTATGTTTTATCATTTTTACAGTGCAGAAATCTGTAAGAAAAATACTATAAACTGAGCACTGTACACTTCGTATTGTGTTGTAGCTGAAATCAATATATTTGAAAATATAGAAAGACATGTACAAATATTTAATAAATGTCAATTGGGATTTTATTGTTTAACAGTGTGATTAAAACTGAATAATCACGTGAGTTCACTGTGATTAATGGACAGCCCTAGTACTGAGTTATGAGCTTTGATTGAAAGTTTTCCCGAATTCACAACACTCATAGGATCTCTCTCCCGTGTGGATTCTCCAATATCTAGTAAGGCGTAAGCTGAGAGTGAAGGTTTTCCCACACTCAGAGCATTCATAGGATTTCTCACCTGTGATTATTCTGATGTTGAGCAATGTTTGAGCTGTCAGTAAAGCTTTTCACACTCATAGCATTCATGGGGGTCTCTCCCGTGTGGATTCTCTCACATGTTGTAAGATCTGAGCTGTGAGTGAAGGTTTTTCCTCACTCTCAGCATTCATGGGGTCTCTCCCCTGTGTGGATTCTCTCATGTCTGGTGAGCTGTGAACCGCAATTGAAGGCTTTCCCGCACTCACCGCATTTATAGGGCCGCTCCCCGGTGTGGATTCTCTGATGTTTAATAAGGTTTGAGGTGGAAATGAAGCTTTTCCCACACTCACAGCATTCGTAGGGTCTCTCACCCGTGTGAATTCTCTCATGTCTAGTAACATCTGAGCTCCTACTGAAGGTTTTCCCACACTGAGAGCACTGAAAGGGCCTCTCCCCTGTGTGGATTCTCTCATGTGTAGTAAGATCTGAGCTGTGCGTGAAGGTTTTCCTGCACTCACAGCATTCATAAGGTCTCTCCCCCCTGTGCATTCTCTCATGTCTAGTGAGCTTTGAACTGCAACTGAAGGCTTTCCCACACTCACCGCATTTATAGGGACTTTCCCCCGTGTGGATTCTCTGATGTTGAATAAGTTTTGAGCTTGCAATGAAGCTTTTCCCACACTCACAGCATTCATAAGGTCTCTCTCCCGTATGGATTCTCTCATGTCTAGTTAGGTCTGAGCTCCTAGTGAAGGTTTTCCCACACTGAGAGCACTGAAAGGGCCTCTCCCCTGTGTGGATTCTCTCATGAGTAGTAAGATCTGACCTGAGAGCGAAGGTTTTCCCACACTCACTGCATTCATAGGGTCTCTCTCCTGTGTGGATTCTCTCATGTCTAGTGAGCTCTGAGCTGCAATTGAAGGCTTTCCCGCACTGACCGCATTCATAGGGCCTCTCCCCTGTGTGGATTCTCTGATGCTGAATAAGGTTTGAGCTGGAAGTGAAGGTTTTCCCACACTCACAGCATTTATAGGGTCTCTCTCCCGTGTGCATTCTCTCATGTCTAATAAGGGATGAGCTCCTAGTGAAGGTTTTCCCACACTGAGAGCACTGAAAGGGCCTCTCCCCCCTGTGCATTCGCTCATGCGTAGTAAGATATGAGCTGAGAGTGAAGGTTTTCCCACACTCCCGGCATTCATAGGGTCTCTCTCCTGTGTGGATTATCTCATGTCGAGTGAGGTGTGAGATGCGATTGAAGGTTTTCCCACACTCACAGCATTCATAGAGTTTCTCTCCCGTGTGGATTCTCTGATGTGCAATGAGGGCTGAACATTCACTGAAGTTTTCCCCACACTCAGTGCATCTATATTTTCTCTTTCCTCTGAGGATTTTTTGTTGGGCTGTGGTTTCTTTGAGGTCCTTTTGAGTTCCCCAACAGTAAATTATTTTTCCCATTTTCTCCTCTGGCTGGTTTCCCTGCTCTCTCTCTGGACTGCGCTGAATCTCACAGACTTTTCCCTGTTCATGAATCGTGGGCTCTTTCTCTTTGGATCTTTGCAATAATGCTCCATGCAGTTCCACTTGCTCAGGATCTTCCTGCTGAGAATTCTGCTCCTCATTCTCACTCACCATCCCAGCACCTGCTGCAACAGAGAGAGAAACCTCAAACTGGGATGGAAAAGAGATGACCATACCAAAATAAGTGCTGGAGAGATGTCAAAAAACAGGAACTGAATTCCCCTAAACTCTTCCCCCAAATTCTGTCTTCACATCCCATCCAAATTCTCAGACAGAAGGAAGGAAGCTACTGCCAAGTGTCAGTTAGGGTCTGTAGGAAGCCCTGAGCTATATCTGCTGTGACAATATGACACCTGCTGGGGACAATCCTGAACTGAGAGCTCTCAAGCTCTTTGTAGGGTATCCTCAGATTTTTTGCTCAGGCACTTACAGATTCTGAGTTGGTTAAATGTTCCTCACCTGTGCAGGGACCTCTCAGGATCTCTTTTTCCTCTGAATCCTGGAGGTCTGGGACCCATGGCTCTTTCCCTTGTTCCAGCTGGGAGATCACATAAGGTTTGGAAACTGGAAACCCTGTTCAGATGAAAGAAAACAAGGAGATCAGGTGAATTTATATGACTTTGTCATGAAAAATAAATATTAATTTAAAACCCAGTCCTTAGTAAACCAGTGAAATCCCAGGGCCAACTCCTCAAAGATGCAGAACACTCTGCTCAAGAGGGATTGAAATACACACATATCTGCTAGGAACACACACAGACACACACTGTGACAGTCTGTAACCCTGTATTCACTCTTTTGCAAAATTATGATATATTTTGTACAAAGTATGCCTTGTCAGGTATCATTTGGAAACCGATAATACGCTGAACACTTTTGTCTTGTTAAACTGTGTGTTAAAATAGAAACACTGCATATATAAAGTGTGACAGAGCTCCTTCTCCGCCTCAGTGGGTTCCGCGCTTCCTCTTAGTGGCAGGCTGGGGTATTCCTCTCCCCCTCAGGATTTCCCCACTGTGACATTATTGACATGAACTGTGACCGTATAGATCATTGTTGCAACCAAGGTCCTATAGTTGCACCAAATCTTGTACAAAGGAGGTCAAGTGAGGTGTCTATGAAAAGGTTGTAATTTCCTGGTTATGCTATCTGTATGTGTGTATCATTTTTGTATTTGAAGTTATAAATATTGGCTATGTACTTGTATCTCACTGTTTGATTCTAAGTATCATTAGTAAAGCATTTGGTCAGCTTCTTGAGAAAGAATTCTTCAGATTAAGTGCCCAATCAAGAAACACTTAACTGACAATGGACCTTGGGAGACTCCAATCCACATCTGAGGAGCCCTCCTGGGATGTTCAAAGTAGCATGTGAGCAGTGGCTGCTGCCTGCAAACTGAGTCATGCATGGACATGTGACTTGCCATGTGACCCCAAACTCCATCTTGCTGCTGTGATTTTCCACAGTAAGAACAAAAAGATCCTTTCACATGGCAGAGGATATAAAAGACCCTGGAACCCCCTCCATTTTGTCTTCAATCCTGCTTCTGACCTCCGGCGGAACTGTGTTTGAAACTGAAGCTCTGAACAAAGGACTGAACGACCCATCCAAGCTGGGATGTTTGTACTCCAGAGACTTGATTGGTTTAAATCAGCAGTAATACCATTAAGCCTGAAACAAGCCTTGACTAAGAATTTTACAATTGTTGTATGTATTTGATTCCATTTAACCAATTCTAGCTATCTCTTTTTCCTTTTATGAATAAAATTTTAGATTTTAGATTCTAAAGGATTGGCAACAGCGTGATTTGTGGGTAAGATCTGACTGGTATATTGACCTGGGTCTGGGGCTTGGTCCTTTGGGATCGGGAGGACCTTTTTTCTTTTACCGGGGTATTGGTTTTTCATAACCATTCATCCCCATAACAAGTGGCACTGGTGGGGATACTGGGAAACTGGAGTGTCGAAGGGAATTGCTTGTGTGACTTGTGGTTAGCCAGTGGGGTGAGACCGAAGTCCTCTCTGTTTGGCTGGGTTGGTGTGCCTTAGTAGTGAAGGACCCCCAGCCTTGGGCTGTGACTGCCCTGCTCTAAGCGATTTGTCCTGAATTGATACTCTCAGTAGTGTCCTGCCAAAGGCTGCATCGTTACACCCACGCCCCTGGGTTTATTGTCCACACCTTGCCTGAACAGGTGAAGCCCAGCCTTCTTGACTGGGAAAGGGGGAGGGGAGCCTCAATCTCTGGTAGCCCCTCCAGGCATGGTGACAACAGGCCAGATACCCAGTTCAGTCTCTCCCCTCTGGTGAGTTCTCTTCCCTAAAAACCTCCGGTGCCTGGAAGGGCTGTTTGCCCTGTTGGGCAGGGTTTCCCCTGCCTTTCGCCTCTGTATGTGGGGGGGGAGGGGGTTTCTCTCCTGGCGCCTCTGCACCGCCCAGCTCTCCAGTAGCGTACCTGCCTCCCACAGCTCCTATCACGTGCTCATATCTGGCTGGAGGGGAGGCTCTTAATGGGTTCTAGCAGGCCCCTTGATTAGCCCCATGTGTCTTAATTAACCTGGAGTAACCCCTGTTCAGTTACCAGGGGGAAAGGAACCTGCTTATCCTGGGGCTAATATACTGGCCTTCCACCACTCTCCTGTAGCCCTCTGGCTTGACCCCGTCACAAAAGATATAAGATTTTACTTATATTTACATTTTATCACAGGGAAGACTTGAACCTCACATCGACAACACATGGAGCCTGTCACCATGACTCAGCTGAAAACTGAAGATGTTTCTAGCACCAAGGACTGAATTATAAAAAGAGGAGGGGAAAACCCTTGATACGCTTTCTCTCCCACCCCTTTTCTCTCTGCTCATGACATCAACAACTCCTGAAGAACTGAACTTCGGGAGGCGGGGCCCCTGGCTGAAAGGAAACCCAGCCTGTCACAGCATATGGTGAGCAAGAGACATTTGCTGTGCATCTATTTTAGCTTGTTAAGTTAGACGTTAGTTTGCGTTTCATCTTTTATTTCTTTTGTAAGCAATTCTGACTTTTATGCCTCCTTACTGTAGTCACTTAAAATCTTTTCCTTCTGTAGTTAATAGGTAAAACAACTTTATTGTTTGGATTAAAGTGTATGAGAAACGCCACTTGGGATAACAAGCCTGGTGCATGTTATTTTCCATTGATGAAGTGACAGACTTTCTATGACCTTGTTCCGTTTAGTAATGTGCTGGAGAGTGCAAGACACACATTTGTGGGGGGAAATCTGGGACTAGAGAATGTGCCGGTATTCCCCTGTGGTGTAATTCACGAGTGGCTGAGTAGTAGCATTCTGTACTGTGTAGCTGGGAGCGAGTTACATGCTGGACAATGTGTGTTAACTGGCCAGGAGTGGCTGTTCTCACAGCAAAGCAGTGTGAAAGGTATCCCAGGTTGGAGAACTGATGGGACACAGCTATTCGACAGTCCAGAGTGTACCCTGGGTAATGTCGCAGACACTCATTATCAAAGAGGCTCCTAAAACACACAGAAGGTAAATGAATGTCTCAGAAAGTGAAAACTCCAGACAGCGAGCAAGTCTCCCAGGAACCGCTTCTTGCTGACAGACAGGTCCAGAGACAATAAGAGAGTCCTGGGGAGTCTGGGAACAGTCAGCATAGGCTGATGGGGTTCTGTGCAGTAAGGAACAGGAAGGGCAGGGAGATCACTGAATGCAGGATCTCAGCAGTACTAGATGTCAGGAAAGCGCATACTGCGGCATTAGGGAATCTAGTGAGTCAGGTGTAACGGGAGGGAATATAAAAATGTCTGGGTGTGGAGAATGCTGGGAAATTAGCCGCTATAATTCAGGAGTAACATATTCTATTTCCTCTGGAAAAGCAGAATGTGAGAAATAAGAATCAGGCCAGGTGACTTCAGGAATGATGGAGCCCAAGATCCAAGGAGCCTGCAAGGAAGAGAGATTGTGGCTATTGCAGATGGGGTTGGGGGAGCAAGTCTCTCAAGATGTTTCACTACCAACCTAGGCCATTTTCACACGCTGGGGTGCAATCCGGAGCAGTGAGGAGTTGTGTCATCTGTAATCCTGGGTGACTTTCAGTGTTCTGCTGCTGGAGCTCCCGTGTCTGGATGTTCCCAGCCAGCATTCAAGGACGCACTGAGTGTCTGTGAGATAAATAACCCTGGACCAGCAGCTCTGACTCCAGCCGCCTGCTTCTTACACCCCAGGCACATTCTGGCTTCCAGCAGGCTTGGATACACCTGGCAAGAGATAGCAACATCTGAATTTTCCCAAAATCATGTGCTCTGCAATGGCTGCTTTTCCTGGATCATTCAGAGGAATAAGAAGGATTGCTTGCTCCTCAAAAGAGACAAATGGCCCAGCTCATCACTTCAACTGGAGTTGGCTATCACTTGAATTCAAAGACAGCACCGGATTAATTTAGATTAAGACTACAACAAGTTTAATAACAAAAGCGTTAAGGTGAGTTCAGGTGTAAAGGAGAAGGCCAGAAATGGTTACAAGCAAGTGAAAGTGAAAAATGCTTTCTGGAGACTAGGACGACTTAACAAAACTACAATCTTGGTTCAAGGTAAGATTCTTACCATACTACTTTCCAGCAAGAGGGCAGATCACCCCCTTACTCAATATCTCCCCCAAAGTCCAAAGGGCTTGGCTCCTTTGTCTTCTTAAATGAAAGATAACTTGGGATTCCCTGCCTCTCTTTTGTATAGTTCAGTGAACCTTTGAAAGGGAGTTTTCTGAAGGTTCCCCTCCAAAGTAAAGGGCATTCAAGCTGTGAGGAAGGAGACCTGGAGTCTAGTGATGAACGAAGTTCAATCCTGGTTTCTTCCCCGGCTGGTGTTTGCTAAAATGGAATTTGGTCTGTTCCTGCGATAACCTCCCTTGCCGTGATGCTGAGTGGTTACATCTGCCCCTTGTTAGTTTGATGGTTTCTTTTATGTAAATTGCATTCCCATTGTCTTTTAATGTCCCTTGAAAGTGCCTTCAAGGTGGCAGAACCACCTGCCTTTGCCTAGGGTGAGGTAAGTTCGACCCTGGCTGGCAGACACACTTTAAGAACATCATTTGCAGCGTCTGTAATATTGAATTTGTCCTCCATACATACACCATGCAATAATATTAATGAATACGATGTCATTAGGTTTCTATTGGTATTAGGGCTGTCGATTAATTGCAGTTAACTCACACGATAAACTCAAAAATATTAATCGTGATTAAAAAAATTAATCACGATTAATCAGTTTTAATCACACTGTTAAACAATAGAATACCAATTAAAATTTAATATTTTTGAATGTTTTTCTACATTTTCAAATATATTGATTTCTATTATAACACAGATTAAAGTGTACACTGCTCAGTTTATATTTTTATGACAAATATTTGCACTGTAAACATGATAATAGTATTTTTCAATTCACCTCATATAAGAACTGTCATGCAAGCTCGTTCTTGTAAAAGTGCAATTTACAAATGTCTATTTTTTTGTGTTTTAAAATCGACATTTGTAACTGCCCTCAAAACCAAAGCTTTAGAGCCTACAACTCCACTCAGTCCTACTTGCTTACATTTACAGGATATAATGTTGCTCACTTCTTATTTACGTCACCAGAAAGTGAGAAAAGGCGTTCACATGGGACTTTTGTAGCCAGCATTGCAAGGTATTTACGTGCCAGATATGCTAAACATTGGTATGGCCCTTCATGCTTTGGCCACCATTCCAGAGGACATGCTTCATGCAGATGACGCTCGTTAAAACAATAATGCGCTAATTAAATTTGTGACTGAACTCCTTGGGGGAGACTTGTATGTCTCTGGCTCTGTTTTACCCGCATTCTGCCATTTATTTCATGTTATAGTAGTCTCAGATGATGACTCAGCGCACGTTGTTCATTTTAAGAACACTTTTACTGCAGATTTGACAAAATGCAAAGAAGGTATCAATGTGAGATTTCTAAAGATAGCTACAGCACTCGACCCAAGGTTTAAGAATATGAAGTGCCTTCCAAAATCTGAGAGGGACAAGGTGTGGAGCATGCCTTCAGAAGTCTTAAAAGAGCAACGCTCTGATGCGGAAACTACAGAACCTGAACCACCAAAAAAAAAAAAAATCACCCTTCTGCTGGTGGCATCTGACTCAGATAATGAAAATTAACATGTTATCGGTCTGCACTGCTTTGGATTGTTATCAAGCAGAACTCATCATCAGCATGGACACATGTCCCCTGGAACGGTGGTTGAAGCATGAAGGGACATATGAATCTTTAGCACATCTGGCATGTAAATATCTTGTGATGCTGGCTACAACAGTGCCATGCAAATGTCTGTTCTCACTTTCAGGTGACATTGTAAAGAAGAAGCGGGCAGCATTATCTCCTGCAAATGTAAACAAACTTGTTTGGCTGAACAAGAAATAGGACTCAGTGGACTTGTGGGCTCTAAAGTTTTACATTGTTTTATTTTTGAATACAGTTATTTTTTGTACATAATTCTACATTTGTAAGTTCAACTTCCATAATAAAGAGATTGCACTACAGTACTTGAAAAATACTATCACTTTTGTTTTTTAAAGTGCAAATATTTGTAATGAGAAATATAAAGTGAGGACTGTATACTTCCTATTCTGTGTTGTAATAGAAATCAATAGATTTGAAAATGTAGAAAACATCCAAAAATACTTAAATAAATGGTATTCTATTATTTTTAACAGTCTGATAAATCACGATCATAGAATCATAGAATATCAGGGTTGGAAGGGACCTCAGGAGGTCATCTAGTCCAACCCCCTGCTCAAAGCAGGACTGATCCCCGACTAAATCATCCCAGCCAGGGTTTTGTCAAGCCTGACCTTAAAAACTTCTAAGGAAGGAGATTCCACCACCTCCCTAGGTAACACATTCCAGTGTTTTACCACCCTCCTAGTGAAAAAGTTTTTCCTAATATCCAACCTAAATCTCCCCCACTGCAACTTGAGACCATTACTCCTTGTTCTGTCATCTCCTACCACTGAGAACAGTCTAGAGCCATCCTCTTTAGAACCACCTCTCAGGTAGTTGACAGCAGCTATCAAATCCCCCCTCATTCTTCTCTTCTGAAGACTAAACATCCCCAGTTTCCTCAGCCTCTCCTCATAAGTCATGTGTTCCAGTCCCCTCATCATTTTTGTTGCCCTCCGCTGGACTCTTTCGAATTTTTCACATCCTTCTTGTAGTGTGGGGCCCAAAACTGGACACAGTACTCCAGATGAGGCCTCACCAAAGTCAAATAGAGGGGAACGATCACGTCCCTCGATCTGCTGGCAATGCCCCTACTTATACATCCCAAAATGCCATTGGCCTTCTTGGCAACAAGGGCACATTGTTGATGCATATCTAGCTTCTCGTCCACTGTCACCCCTCGGTCCTTTTCTGCAGAACTGCTGCCGAGCCATTCGGTCCCTAGTCTGTAGCGGTGCGATTAACAGCCCTAATTGGTATCTTAGGCTAGATACACAGTGAAGATTACATTGGCATAAATTATGTTACTCTGGGGTGTGAGTAAACCACCTTCCTGGGCGACGTAAGTTACAGTGACGTGTTGGTGTGGACAGCACTATGTCATTGGGAGAGCTTCTCCTTCCAACATAGCTACTCCTGCTCCTGGGGCCTGGAGTAATTAAGTCGATGGGAGAACTCTCTCCTGTTGGCTTAGAGTGTCAGTAGTGCAGCCATAGCCTGCCACGGCACCTTTTACACACACTACAACCTCAGTGTTACAAACACCAGAGTTATGAACTGACCGGTCAACCATACATGGCATTTGGAACGGACAGCACCCAATCAGGCAGCAAAGACCTCCCGCCCCCCCATAATTAAATAAATAAATACAGAACTGTACTGTGTTAAATATAAATTACTAAAAAAAAGGGGGGAGGGCTTTTAAAAAAAGATTTGACGTGAAAAGGAAACTCTTTTTGTGCATGTTTCATTTAAATGAAGATGATTAAAAGCAGCATTTTTCTTCTGCATAATGAAGTTTCAAAGCTGAATTAAGTCGATGTTCGGTTGTAAACATTTGAAAGAAGAACGATAACGTTTTGTTCAGAGTTACAAACAACCGCCTTTCCCCAAATGTTTGTAACTCTGACGTTCTACTGCACAGGTTACGACTTTAGTGAGTTGGGGTGCTCTGAAAGGTTCATGCCCACTGAAACCAACTCCTTCTTATTTCTTCCAGTCCTCCATTGCATTGCAACTCCCTATAGGACCTACTCCATGGTACATCTCCTTCCCCCTGCCTCCAGACATCCCAGCTCACAGGATCTCTTCACCCCAAACCTCCCCCCAGCACCTCTCTGCTCTCCAACACCCTCCCTCCCCATGCCTGGACCCTCCCAAGGATTGGTATTTATTATTTTTATTACCGTAATGCTCATATCCCCAGCCACTGACCATCATCCCTCTGTGCTGGATGTTCTACAGACACAGAACAAAAACACAATTCCTGCCCCATGGAGCTGACAATCTAAGAATAAGACAAGAGACAGATGGGAACAGACAGGTGGGGGAAGTGTCCCAGTTTGTACACTGAGCCAAATGCTAATGAAGAAATTGTGACATCTTCAAGAGAGGAAATTTACACGAAATAACAAAGAGAAGGATCCTGTTCATGAGGTAAGATAATGGAATGTGGAGATATATTTGGCTGTACAGAGGTACACCCTGCATCCTCCAGCATGGCATCAAGCTGGCAGTGTGATTTGTCTCATGAACAGAAGGTCACAGCCCAGCCTGGCTGTAAAACACTGGAAGGCCTTTGCGTGAGCATTGCTGTAGGACATACGAAAGGCTCAAGGTCTGTACGTCTAGGATCTAGACAGAGTGCTCTGATTGTACTTGATGTGTAACTATTTTTTCCCAAGACTTCTCCTTGCTATCACTGGAATCTCTAGACTTCATTAATTATACTATGACTTGTTTTTTCTCTACACACATCTCAGACTATGTCTACACGACAGAGCCACAGCTGTACTGCTGTAAGTCTCCCATGTCGCCTCTCTATGCCAACGGCAGAGCTCTCTCCTCTCGGCAGAATGAAACCCCCTACAGGCGGCGGTAGCTATGTCAGCGGGAGAGCGGCTCCCACAAGCATAGCGCTGTCCACACCACTGCTTTTGTGGGGATACTTATGTTGGTCAGGGGTGTGTTTTTTTCACACCCGACCGACGGAAGTGTTACCAACAAAAGTGCTACTGTAGACATCGTCTAAGTGTTGTGTTAAACTGGAATATCTGTGAATCTGAGTGTCAGGGGCTGGACTCTCCAGGGAGACTCTCAGAGGGCTCAGCGGTTGGGGTATGTCTATCGCTTCCCTGCTGAGAATATTTTGAAGTGCTGTAAAATCCACATGCAGACTCTGATGTAGTCTGCTCTTGAAAGTTTTGCCAAGATAGCTCTGTTGTTTAGGACCACACACACACACACACAGCTATACTGGCAAAAGGATGAGTGTGGACACAGTTACAGTGGCAAAACGTCCACTACAAAAGATGAAGCAAACTAAATGCCTAGAAACTACTTTACTGCAGAGTTAAGGGTGCCCAGTGCTGTCTCCTGCCTTTCACCGTACGGTCGGTGGCTAAACTTAAATCTCTGCAAACCAGAAAATGAACAGTAAATGTACACACCTTCCCTGCATTGCCACCCTAACCCTGCTCCCATCCCTTCAGCTGGTAGGAGCCACTGGGAATGGTTCTCCAAGGAACTGGGGTATTCTCCATCTGTTCAGGACTTCACATCAAGACTGGATGCCTTTCTGAAAATGATTTAGTCAAACAGAAGGTGTCCAGCTCAGTACAGCAGTAACTGAAAGAAAGTCTACAGTTTGTGTGATACAGGAGATCAGCCCAGATGACGAAATCATCCCTTCTGGCCTTAAAATCTGTGAATCTATAACAGATACGAGGAAGGACTAAGAACATGCCCTTGTTTGTGTTGTGTTCTACAGACGGGAATCCCAGCATTTATCCACATCCCCTCCGGCTGCGTGCACTGGGTCAGGTGTAGCTGTAATCGGACGGTGGAGGGAGTAGTTGGAGCAGCTTGGCAGAGCTGTGACTGTGATATGCAGAGAGGTGCATGTGACCCCTGAGGGACCGAGCCTGCCCCATTTCAGTGCTCAGTGTTGTAGGTTGTCAGTACAGGTGCACAAGGGGGAGTTCTTGCCACTGGGACTGTCAGCACCCTGGTGGGATACATGGTAGTGATCTGCAGGGCAAGTGAAGGCAACGACTCAGAAGAAATCCTCAAGGTGAGGGTAAGGGAGTGGGATCATTTTGTAAGTCGGAGCTGGTTTGCATGGAGTCAAGGCCAGGGTTGGAAGCTTCTGTTCACTATGCGGGACCCAAACCCCAGTTTCACCTTAAACCCAGAAGGTATTTGACCATGTGCTAAACTGCTGATGTGCTCTGTTCCCGCAGTGTCGGATAGCAGGGGAGGGGAGAGGGCTAGTGTGTGTGTCCCTGGCATGTGGGGTGATGCTGAATCAGGGCAGTGTAATGGTTACATTATAGAGATGATGTGAACCTTAATTAGTCACTTCCCTTCTAAGAACCGAGGGGACAGGAACCCTTACCCAGCGAGGTCACATTCTCGTAGTTCTCCTGCATGACGTCTCTGTAGAGGGCTCTCTGAGCGGGGTCCAGCAGAGCCCCCTCTTCCCTGGTGAAATACACAGCCACCTCCTCAAAGGTCACCGGCCCCTGAAAGAGCAAGAGTCCAACCCTCAGTGCCTGCGGCCCCAGTGACAACCCCACTATTCGTGGGGGAAAGGAGCCAGCCAAATGAAAGCTCTGGATGGTTTGTTATCAACAGAGTCCCACCCCCACCCCGCTCATAGTAGCTGGTGGTTAGTCAGGTCGGGCTTCAGCACTGGGAGTCTGGTTCTTCTTCCTAACCCCAGCTAGGTGTGTTGTTTCCTGTTCCACAAATTAGGGCGTTTCCACCTCCAAACCCCACGCGTCTGTGCGGTGAGACCCAGCGCAATGCTGGCCAGAAGAACTCCAGAGCTCACCTCTGGAGCCGGGACAGGATACACGGGGCTGGTCTCAGAGCACGGACAGGACCAGCTGGTTGAGCATCAGTGTCCCCCCCATAGGGAAAGGCACCGGAGCAGTCACGTCCACCTCCGCAGCCGCTCAGAGAAGGGGGGGAAGGGGAGACACGAAACTGTCCCCTGAGGATCGTCCAAGGGAAGGGGAAACGAGACGACCCCAGGGGCGGCAGCAGTATGAGAGGTGGCCGGGAGAGAGTCGGAGAATACGACAGGGGCAGGAGCAGGACTGGGAGTGGGAACGGGATCAGGAGCAGAGGCAGAAGTGGGGTCAGTGTCCCTAGGGTACAGCACCTTTCGACTGGGTTCAGGGGCTGAGGGTACAGGGAGAGAAAGGGGGCCCTCAGTAACGCACGGTGTGGGGCAGGATGGCATCTGCAATTGGGCCCCCAGCTGGGAGGAAAGGCAGCAGTCGGCCTCAAGAGGGGGTGCACCCAGGGGCTCGGGGCCCGCGCTCTCGGCACTGCCCATCGCCACAAGGGAACTGGCGGGCGCGGGCGAGGTGCTGTCTGTGGCTGGGCAGATGGACGAGCCCAGGAACACCCCAGGGTCGAGAGTGGAGGCAGTGGCCTGGGGTAGAGGAGGGAAAGGAGGCGGCAGCGGGACAAATCCGCTGCCCAGACCGAGGCCCTCTGGCAAGGGGTCGTCCTCCCGCTGGGTGACCGGGGTCAGACCCAGGGCCTCGATTTCCTGACAATTGGAGTGAAAATCTCCCCCGCCACCCCAGAGTTCTCCCCGCCAGCAACGGCGGCAACAATTGCCTCAGCGCCGAGGGGGGCACAGATGACGAGGGGGCGGGAGGGGCTCCATCCGAGGCCCCCTCAGGGAGCGACTCCAGGCGGAGGGCGGTGCCGTTCCCCACAGCATCCTCAGCTGGCTCCACCTGTGGGCCCTCTCGGGGGGTGCGGACGGCTCGGCAGTCGCAGCCCCCCTCGGTCTTGCGGGGGGCCTCCTCCCCCTCCGTGTCAAGGGCGGTGGTGAGCCCATGCCTTCCATTTGACGCATTCCCCTCTCTCAGCACCCAGCCCCACAAGGTGGAGGCAGAGGGCTGACTAACAGGGGCCGAGCCGGGGGGACAATGAGGGGAAGAGATACCTCCCGCTGTGGTGGGCCCTCTCCCATGCCCGGCAGCAGCCCTGCTGTCCTCTCCTCCAGGGGCCCCACCAGACTGTGTCTGACGGAGGTGGGGCCCACCCACCCATCTGGGCACCACCCCAGTCTCTCCGGACATGCCCGTCACCTGGCAGAGGTAGCACCGGGCCTCCTCCGAAGAGTATCTATCTGTGGAGATAGAGGTGGTTAGGGACTTTTAGAAAAGGACGTCATCCGGGGCGGACGAGTTGCCCGAGAGTGTGAAGGAACTGGGGTGTGATTGCAGAGCTTGCCATTTCTTTGAAACTCGGGCAACCGGGGAAGTCCGGATGACTGGAAAAAGGCTATGTGCCCATCTTTAAAAAAGGGAAGAAGGAGGATCCTGAACTACACATCACCTCACTTCAGTCCCTGGAAAAATCATGGAGCAGGTCCTCAAAGAATCAATCCTGAAGCACTTGCAGAGAGGAAAGTGATCAGGAACAGCCAGCATGGATTCACCAAGGGAAGGTCATGCCTGACAATCTAATCGCCTTCTATGATGAGATTACTGGTTCTGTGGATGAAGGGAAAGCAGTGGATGTATTGTTTCTTGACTTTAGCAAAGCTTTGACACTCCCCACAGTATTCTTGTCAAAGTTAAGGAAGTATGGGCTGGATGAATGCACTACAAGGTGGGTAGAAAGCTGGCTAGATTGTCGGGCTCAACGGGTAGTGATCAATGCTCCATGTCTAGTTGGCAGCCGGTATCAAGTGGTGTGCCCCAAGGGTCGGTCCTGGGCCGGTTTGTTCAATATCTTCATAAATGATCTGGAGGATGGTGTGGATTGCACTCTCAGCAAATTTGCGGATGATACTAAACTGGGAGGAGTGGTAGATACGCTGGAGGGGAGGGATAGGATACAGAAGGACCTAGACAAATTGGAGGATTGGGCCAAAAGAAATCTGATGAGGTTCAATAAGGATAAGTGAGGGTCCTGCACTTAGGACGGAAGAACCCATGCACAGCTACAGACTAGGGACCAATGTCTAGGCAGCAGTTCTGCGGAAAAGGACCTAGGGGTGACAGTGGACGAGAAGCTGGATATGAGTCAGCAGTGTGCCCTTGTTGCCAAGAAGGCCAATGGCATTTTGGGATGTATAAGTAGGGGCATAGCGAGCAGATCGAGGGACGTGATCGTTCCCCTCTATTCGACATTGGTGAGGCCTCATCTGGAGTACTGTGTCCAGTTTTGGGCCCCACACTTCAAGAAGGATGTGGATAAATTGGAGAGAGTCCAGCGAAGGGCAACAAAAATGATTAGGGGTCTGGAACATATGAGTTATGAGGAGAGGCTGAGGGAGCTGGGATTGTTTAGCCTGCAGAAGAGAAGAATGAGGGGGGATTTGATAGCTGTTTTCAACTACCTGAAAGGGGGTTCCAAAGAGGATGGCTCTAGACTGTTCTCAATGGTATCAGATGACAGAACGAGGAGTAATGGTCTCAAGTTACAGTGGGGGAGGTTTAGATTGGATATTAGGAAAAACTTTTTCACTAAGAGGGTAGTGAAACACTGGAATGCGTTACCTAGGGAGGTGGTAGAATCTCCTTCCTTAGAGGTTTTTAAGGTCAGGCTTGACAAAGCCCTGGCTGGGATGATTTAACTGGGAATTGGTCCTGCTTTGAGCAGGGGGTTGGACTAGATGACCTTCTGGGGTCCCTTCCAACCCTTATATTCTATGATTCTATGATTCTATGAGTAAAGCACCTGGCAATGGGCCCCCTGGGGGGACCCCAGAAAGGACCCCTCTAGCGCCTCCAGCAGGTGGACCTGGACCTGCCAGCGGAAGGACAGGACGTGACAGAGGGCGGGGTCCTTACAGCCCAGGGGGAGGGGGCTGATGAGAGAAAGGGGTTTTCCCAGGGTGGAGAGGAAGAGCAGTAGGGCGACATTGGGAAGGAAGGGTGGGACAGAGGTAAAAACCACCCGCACCCCGAGTCTTCCAGGAGCTCAAGGGGGACATACCTCCCCCCCAGCTGTGGTGACGGCCCCCAAGAGGTACAGGGAGGCCAGTCGAGGCAGGGCGGGGGAAGCGCGATCACCGGTGCAGCGTGGGGATACCTACTCCTCCGGCTGCACTGGGAAGGGGCGGGACTACAGTATCAATGGGGGGGGAGCAGTGAATGGGGGGGGGCAATGTAATAAATAATAAAGGGGCGCAAGTGCTCCGGGAGGAACATGGCGCAGGCAGCCAGGGGGCTGAGCGAGGGGGAGCAATGGAGGGGAAGGGGAAGGGGAAGGGGAGCAGACTGAAGACAGGTGCGTGTGCAGAACTCAATCTGTGCCTGCTGCTGCAGTCCGGCCAGGTGCTGAGCAGGGTGAAGGAAGCAGCCGTGTCGAGGGGCGCAGAGCCGGCCCAGAGGGTAGGTGGGGGTGGGGGTGGGGGGCGGCAGATGGGCTAGGGGGAGGGCTCCAGGTCCCCACCCCACAAAAGCAGTAGCTACCACCACCATAGGAGCAAACCCCCTGCACAGTGTCCTGCAGCCATCCTGCAAACCCTCCTTTTCCTCCGGCTCCAAAGCAGCAGCCAGCCAGGAGAGACCCCAGGGATGGTGGGGGGTCCTCGCTTCCCTCCGGAGGGCAGGCCGGCAGGGCTCCCCACACAGCAGCAGCAGCCAGGGACACCTCCAGCCAGCAGGGCAACTGGCCAGCCACTGCAGTGGGACGGAGCAGAGGGGCTCCCTCTGACCCAGAAGTGGAGAAGCAGTACCAGAAGTTTAAAAGGCGGCACATCCTGGTTGCTCCAGGCCGCCGGCTTTGCTGCCAAGCCAAGAGACACCCTGTTCCCGGAGGAACCTGGGGAGCTGCCGGGACTGCCACTGGCTGCCAACCCCGGGCAGACAGGGCAGCCGCTGTTCCAGATACACCCCAAGGGGAGGGGAGGAAGTGGCCCAGGGGCAGCCGACCCCAGTCTGGCGGTACTGCAGCCTGAACTGCGGTCAGCATATTGCGGCTGGACTCCCTGCTGACCCAGCGGCAGACCACTCCACCACTGTTAGGCCCTGGGCTGGGACCAGGTGGAGTCGGGTAGGCCCCGGGCCCCCCACTGCTGGGGCAGCAGCCTGCCCACTGTAGGCCAGTGTTCACCTACTGCCTGCCAAAGCTCGGGTGCTAGACTGCTCACCGCTCTGCCCTGCCTTAGGGTTGGGGCCTTGGACCAATGGTGCCCACCCTGCCTGAGGCCTGGCCCCTAAACCGTTGTCTGCTCTGCCCCTGCCTAAGGGCCCAGAGCCTACAGACTCCTGGGTGGCCCTGCTCTTGCCTGAGGATCAGAACCCATATACTGACTGGGGTTCTTGCCTGTTAGGGAGGTCGGGACACTGACACCTGGACTGTTAATTCCCCTGAGACTAGGCAGTGATCCCGAGGACGTGGTGAGGACTCCCTCCGACCCAGACGGAGAGGGACGATTCCACCACCACTGCAGTCTGTTCCTAGAATCTAGGCCACTCATTAAACAAATCCCAGCAGGTTTGTCACACCCCGTCCTCCTCCCTTCCTCCACCCTGTGTATTTCCTGCCCCGCTCCAACCTCCAAACCAGACGGGGCAAAGCTTCCCACCTCCTGTGTACTTACTGTCCCTCTCCCTCCTGCAGGAGCCCACCAGCAACCCCCCGATAATCCCTACCTGAGCTGGCTCCTCTGCAGCCATTTCTCTCCCCTGTCCCATGGGAGGACGGGATCAGCCGGAGGGAAACGTGGGCGTCATTCTGCAGCCTGGCAGGGCGAGAAGGGCAGTTGTGCAGGTTTAGGAACGGGCTTTAGTTCATTTCACATCACGATTCCCCCAGGCTCTTTCCTTGCAGACAGACAGCCTAGATTCTGCCATGCTGGGAAAATGCTTGTTCTCTGCATTACAGTGTAGACCGGGCCCCTCCTTCCAGGCAAAGCCCACACAGTTTTAAGCCCCCCCCCACCCCCCCCGCCAGTAACAAAGTTTCTGAACATAATGCTAGAAAAGAGCAGAACCAAAGGAGTCACTTTGGAAGAGTCCTTCTGACACTGACCCCTAGGCAGCCACACCCCAGCAGGAGGAATGTGGAGTCAGGAACTGGGCTTTCCTCTCTCTGATCCTCATCTTGTTCACAGCACAGTGATTCTGCCCAGGGATGCTGCAATACATGTGTCTGGGCAGATCAGAGATCTGGATAACTCTCTCCCCACTCATTTCTCCCACTGCCCCTTTCAGTCACATTCTTCTTTCCCCTTCTATCTCCTTTCCCATGTCCCCTCTCCCTGCCCTTGTGGCTCGGAAAGTCCCATCCTTGGGATGTTTGCTGTCCCACGGCTGGATTTTTTTCCCGGAAATCGCTAACGGGAGGAGAAACGAGGAGAAGCTATTTGGTATGAATACTCTCCAGCACTTTCCCTGCGGATCTCACACTTTTCTGGAGTTTCTAGCTCAAAATTAACTATGAACAGAGCCTAGGGCTGCCCTCAAGGGCTAGTACCAGCTGGAGAAAGTCAATTCCCAGCAAAGGTGGGGTCCCAGATCACAATGGAGGCTGCAGCCTCTGACCCAGGAAGCTGAATCCTAATATCTAGGGCAGAAAGTTTGAGCCGCCTTCCCTCTTTTAGCAACAACCAGCGCTCTGTGGTAAGAGCAGCAAATTAAACCACCTCCCCAGAGGGACAGTTGTTCATGTCACTCCTTGTCTTTCCTTGCAGTGACTCCGGATTAACACTCGTCCCAATGACACCAGAAGCACAGTTCAGAAAGGATGAGGCCAGAACCCTTTTCAACAGATCACCGTGTGCGAGTGCTCACCCCCTTCCAACCTCCCCCAGCCCCCAGATCTAGGGCAAGGACTCAGGGCAAGAGTTTTCCCTACAGAACCTGCCCACGAAAGCTTATACCCAAATAAATCTGTGAGTCTCTAAGGTGCCACAAGTACTCCTGGTCTTTTTGCGGATACAAACTAACACGGCTGCTACTCTGAAACCTGAAGTTCCTGCAGTTTTCCGGAGGGGAGAGATGCAAAAATCTGTTGGTGGTTTCAACTCACCGTGTTTGATAAGTGGATAGAAAGTTACCACCCCCACCACCATCCCGGCCAGTCACACAGGCAGAGGGAGCCTGGGGGGACGCTTCTTTAACAAAATGGAGGGGGCCAAAATATTGAAGACACATCCATGCCCTGTCACTAGCAAATAATGGCCATCGTGGATCCACCCCAGAGGTGGCTGCATCTTAGCACTGCAGGAAGCCGCCCCTCATGGAGACCCTTTGTCACGGGGTTTGGGATACTTCTGGACCCATGCTGCACTCAGAGGGACCTCCTCATCCCGTGCCAGCTGGAGAAAAGAAAAGGGTCCAGCCAACTCTCCTCATAGCATCATAGAATCATAGAATATAAGGGTTGGAAGGGACCCCAGAAGGTCATCTAGTCCAACCCCCTGCTCGAAGCAGGACCAATTCCCAGTTAAATCATCCCAGCCAGGGCTTTGTCAAGCCTGACCTTAAAAACCTCTAAGGAAGGAGATTCTACCACCTCCCTAGGTAACGCATTCCAGTGTTTCACCACCCTCTTAGTGAAAAAGTTTTTCCTAATATCCAATCTAAACCTCCCCCACTGCAGCTTGAGACCATTACTCCTCGTTCTGTCATCTGCTACCACTGAGAACAGTCTAGATCCATCCTCTTTGGAACCACCTCTCAGGTAGTTGAAAGCAGCTATCAAATCCCCCCTCATTCTTCTCTTCTGCAGGCTAAACAATCCCAGCTCCCTCAGTCTCTCCTCATAACTCATGTGTTCCAGACCCCTAATCATTTTTGTTGCCCTTCGCTGGACTCTCTCCAATTTATCCACATCCTTCTTGAAGTGTGGGGCCCAAAACTGGACACAGTACTCCAGATGAGGCCTCACCAATGTCGAATAGAGGGGAATGATCACGTCCCTCGATCTGCTCGCTATGCCCCTACTTATACATCCCAAAATGCCATTGGCCTTCTTGGCAACAAGGGCACACTGCTGACTCATATCCAGCTTCTTGTCCACTGTCACCCCTAGGTCCTTTTCTGCAGAACTGCTGCCGAGCCATTCGGTCCCTAGTCTGTAGCTGTGCATTGGGTTCTTCCGTCCTAAGTGCAGGACCCTGCGGATGACCGGGGGGAGGGGTCTGGGGGCGGCCAATGGGGGGGGGTGGGGGGGTGGGGGGGGGGGGGGGGGGGGGGGGGGGGGGAGGGGGGGGGGGGTGGGGGGGGGGTGGGGGACAGGGGGGGGGGGTGAGGGGGGGGGGGGGGGGAGGGGGGGGGGGACGGGGGGGGGGGGGGAGTGGGGGGGGTGACCGGGGGGAGGGGTCTGGGGGTGGCCAGTGGGGGGGGGGCGGATGACCGGGGGGAGGGGTGTGGGGGCGGCCAATGGGGGGGGTCTGGGGGCAGCCAGTTGGGGAGGGGCGGTGACGGGGGGGGGGTGGGGGGGGGGGGGGGGGGGGGGGGGGAGGGGGGGGGGGGGGGGGGGGGGGGGGGGGGGGGGGGGGGGGGGGGGGGGGGGGGGGGGGGGGGGGGGGGGGGGGGGGGGGGGGGGGGGGGGGGGGGGGGGGGGGGGGGGGGGGGGGGGGGGGGGGGGGGGGGGGGGGGGGGGGGGGGGGGGGGGGGGGGGGGGGGGGGGGGGGGGGGGGGGGGGGGGGGGGGGGGGGGGGGGGTGGGGGAGGGGGGGGGGGGTGACGGGGGGAGGGGTCTGGGGGCGCAGTGGGGGGGGGCGGGTGACGGGGGGGGGTGGGGGGGGGGGGGGGGGGGGGGGGGGGGGGGGGTGGGGGGGGGGGGGGGGGGGGGGGGGGGTGGGGGGGGGGGGGGGGGGGGGGGGGGGGGGGGGGGGGGGGGGGGGGGGGGGGGGGGGGGGGGGGGGGGGGGGGGGGGGGGGGGGGGGGGGGGGGGGGGGGGGGGGGGGGGGGGGGGTGACGGGGGGGGGGGGAGGGGGGGGGGGGGGGGGGGGGGGGGGGGGGGGGGGGGGGGGGGGGGGGGGGGGGGGGGGGGGGGGGGGGGGGGGGGGGGGGGGGGGGGGGGGGGGGGGGGGGGGGGGGGGGAGGGGGGGGGGTGGGGGGGGGGGCGGGGGGGTGGGGGGGGGGGGGGGGGGGGTCTGGGGGGGGGGGGGGGGGTGGGGGGGGGGGGGGGGGGGGGGGGGGGCGGGGGGCGGGGGGGGGGGGGGGGGGGGGGGGGGGGGGGGGGGGGGGGGGGGGGGGGGGGGGGGGGGGGGGGGGGGGGGGGGGGGGGGGGGGGGGGGGGGGGGGGGGGGGGGGGGGGGGGGGGGGGGGGGGGGGGGGGGGGGGGGGGGGGGGGGGGGGGGGGGGGGGGGGGGGGGGGGGGGGGGGGGGGGGGGGGGGGGGGGGGGGGGGGGGGGGGGGGGGGGGGGGGGGGGGGGGGGGGGGGGGGGGGGGGGGGGGGGGGGGGGGGGGGGGGGGGGGGGGGGGGGGGGGGGGGGGGGGGGGGGGGGGGGGGGGGGGGGGGGGGGGGGGGGGGGGGGGGGGGGGGGGGGGGGGGGGGGGGGGGGGGGGGGGGGGGGGGGGGGGGGGGGGGGGGGGGGGGGGGGGGGGGGGGGGGGGGGGGGGGGGGGGGGGGGGGGGGGGGGGGGGGGGGGGGGGGGGGGGGGGGGGGGGGGGGGGGGGGGGGGGGGGGGGGGGAGGGGGGGGGGGGGTGGGGGGGGGGGTGGGGAGGGGGGGGGGGGGGGGGGGGGGGGGGGGAGGGGGGGGGGGGGGGAGGGGGGGGGAGGGGGGGGGGGGGGGGGGGGGGGGGGGGGGGGGGGGGGGGGGGGGGGGGGGAGGGGGGGGGGGGGGGGGGGGGGGGGGGGGGGGGGGGGGGGGGGGTGGGGGGGGGGGGGGGGGTGGGGGGGGGGGGGGGGGGGGGGGCGGGGGGGGGGGGGGGGGGGGGGGGGGGGGGGGGGGGGGGGGGGGGGGGGGGGGGGGGGGGGGGGGGGGGGGGGGGGGGGGGTGGGGGGGGGGGGGGGGGGGGTGGGGGGGGGGGGGAGGGGGGGGCGGGGGGAGGGGTCTGGGGGGGCCAGTGGGGGAGGGGGGGTGATGGGGGGAGGGGTGGGGGCGGCCAGTGGGGGAGGGGCGGGTGAGGGAGGGCTGGGGGCGGCCAGGGGGGAGGGGGGGTGACGGGGGGAGGGGTGGGGGGGAGGGGGGAGGGGGGGTGGGGGGGAGGGGTGGAGGGAGGGGGGAGGGGGGGTGATGGGGGGAGGGGTCTGGGGGCGGCCAGTGGGGGAGGGGCGGGTGACCGGGGGGGAGGGGTCTGGGGGCGGCCAGTGGGGGGAGGGGCGGATGACCGGGGGGCGGGTCTGGGGGCGGCCAGTGGGGGAGGGGCGGGTGACCGGGGGGGAGGGGTCTGGGGGCGGCCAGTGGGGGAGGGGCGGGTGATGGGGGGGAGGGGTCTGGGGGCGGCCAGTGGGGGAGGGGCGGGTGATGGGGGGGAGGGGTCTGGGGGCGGCCAGTGGGGGAGGAGTGACCGGGGGGGGGGAGGGGCACAGACAGGGACCGGATCCAATTCACTCCCCCCCCCGCGCCCACTGACCGCCCCTCCCCCACGCCGGCCTGAGGCGGCTCCGGCTCTTACCGGCTTCCTTGGCCTCAGCGCACCGGGCGGAAGGCCCAGGGCGGGGGCGGGGGCGGGGCCGCGGGGCGCGCGGCACAGGCCGGAAGTGACGCCCCGGCCGAGCGCGGCGCGAGGCGGGTCCGTTAGGGCGGTTGGAGCCACAGCGCGCCGCGCGCAGGGGGCGGAGCCCGGAGCGGCCCCACGCCCCGCCCCCCTCCACGCCGGGCGGGGCGGCGGCCCCAGAGCGCAGAGCCGGGGCGGGGGCTGAGCGGCGGGGCTCTGGGGGCCGTTAACCCTTTCCTGCCCCACACTGGACTCCGCTTCCCCCCGCCCCCGCAGCGCGGTGCCCCGAGGGAGCGGGAGACGCGGGAGGCGGGCGCTGCGCATGCGCGCCCACCGAGCATGCGCAGTCCCCTCGGCTGAAGCCGCCGCCCTTCCCCCTGCCCGTCCTTGCCCAGCAGCTGGAGGCAGGGTTCGGGGGGGGGGGAGGGAGGCGCTGGCAGAGGGTAAAACCCGGCCCAGGCGGGGGGGGCAGTCACTGTGGTGGGGCTGAGCCCCCCCCCCCGTGTTGGCAATAATGGGGGGGGGGCAGAGGGGCTTTTTTATGACCCCTCCCCCAGAGGGCACCTCTCAGCCCGGGCTGCCCAGGGCGGGTGCTTCAAGGCCCGGGCCCCCCCCCCCGGCCAGTCACCGACCGGGGGGGGCTGCCGGGGACTGGATTCAGGGAAATATTTTGCATCCCCCCCCCCCCGAGAAACAAAGACTCCCGGCTCAGGGCGTCCGGCTGCGGCGGGTCCCAGATTTTTGTTCTTCTCGGCGGCTGGGAGTCCCCGAATCCCCCTTCGGCCGTCACCCCTCGCGCAGCTGCGCGTCACGGCCCGTTTCCTTTGCCTCTTTCGCCACCAGGCCTGACTGAAAAGAGGCACGAGCGCAGGAACGCCGCCCGAAACGCGGTCGCTCTGTTCCTGACTTTAAGCGAAACGATGTTAAGCGAATCCAATGTCCCCATAAGAATTCATTTAAATTGGGGGTTAGGTTCCAGGGACATTTTTTTCGCCAGACGAAAGACATTTGTCCTGGCGTCCCTGGGCGATGCTTTGGACCTGCTCCCCGTGGAGCCGGGCAGGACTCTGGGGCAGTCTCCTCTCGGGGAGCAGCCTGTCTGCAGGACACACGGCTCCCCCGGCTCCACCTTCCTGGGTCTGCCCCTCCTCTGCCCCTCCGGGCGCTTCCCACAGCCTGTCCGCCCAGGCGGGGTCCTGGGGCGGCCAGAGGGTCCTGCCCCCCAACTCCGCAGTCAGACGGGACTCTCAGCCAGCCAGTAAAACAGAAGGTTTATTAGACGACAGGAACATGGTCTAACACAGAGCTTGTAGGTGCAGAGAACAGGACCCCTCAGCTGGGTCCATTTTGGGGGGCAGTGAGCCAAACAACCACGTCTGCCCTTCACTGCATGTCCCAGCCAGCCCCAAACTGAAACTCCCCCCAGCCCCCCCTGCTCTGGGCTTTGTCCCTTTCCTGGGCACCTGATTCCTTTGTTCTCCAACCCTTTAGCTCTCACCTTGCAGGGGGAAGGGCCCAGGCCATCAGTGGCCAGGAAACAGGGTGTCGGCCATTCTCTGTGTCCAGACCCCTGCACACACCTGCCCTCCAGGGCTCTGCAACGATCGTACACCCTTCTCCCACCCCCTAGATACTTAAGAACTGCCTAGGGGAAACTGAGGCACCCCCACACTATTCAGAGGAAACATTAAGAACAGTCCCACTTCGTCACAACATTATATACATATACAGTATAAGTTTTAAATAATTTTAAACAAACTAATACTGTACTCTCCAATGATGATTGTGAATCATAGAATCATAGAAGATCAGGGTTGGAAGGGACCCCTGAAGGTCATCTAGTCCAACCCCCTGCTCAAAGCAGGACCAATCCCCAATTAAATCATCCCAGCCAGGGCTTTGTCAAGCCTGACCTTAAAAACTTCTAAGGTTTTTTGAGGCAGGGCATAGTGGGGTTGGGGCGCAGGGGCTTGCCCGCTCCCCATCTGGAACCCCGGGTGGGCAGAATGGGGCAAGCCCCCGACCCCGCTCTCTGGCAGGAGTGCCGGGTGGGCGGGTGGAGCGGGGCGAGCCAAACAACCTTATAATGGAACGTTGCACGACTTTAAACGAGTATGTTTTCTAATAGATCAGCAACCTAATAACGAAACAATGTTAACCGGGATGACTTTAAGTGAGGAGTTACTGTAAGTACTTGCTAGTTTTCGCAATGACATCTGTGTTTCTAGCATTGCACTTGCAATGTTTTTTACTGTGATTTCTAACTTGGCATTTTTAATTCTAACTTTTTCTTCGTATTTTTAGAGCAGAAGTTTATTCTGCTGGATCATCTGACTCCCAGCCTGGCTGAACTTCTGGGCTGGTCTCAAAACTCTTTCTTCATTCAGTCCACCAACGGTGATTGCCTTTTGCAACTGCTCTGTTGCCTCTCAATCCAGCCCTTGGTGTTTTTCCGCATGCCATTGCTTGTGTGTAGAACTGGATTCGCAAATATTCAGTACAGGCCATATGCTCTCTCATGTCACGTCCTTTTGAAAGGCAAACATCTATTGTCATTTTTGCTGAACATCAGAACTGCCCTAGCGGGTCAGACCAATAGTCCATCTGGTCCAGTATCCTGTCTTCTGACAGCGGCCAGTGCCGGGTGCTTTGGAGGGAATGAACACAACAGACAATCTCTGAGTGAACCATCCCAGCATGTGGCAGTCAGAGGTTTAGGGACACCCAGAGCATGGGCTGCACCCCTGATTATCTCAGCTAATACCTGATGCACCTATCCTGAGGGACTGACCCTCTTCACCGGGAGCCCTGCCCTCACCAGTACAGGAGAGATGAAGGAGCACCCAGGCCTGGCTCCTCTGGGGTGCTCAGGACAGCTGGCAGTGCCTTCTGCCCCTCCCCGTTTGCCATCAGGGCATTTAGGCTGCAGCAATCTTATGGCTTCCATGTGCACGGGTGCGTTTGAGGGAGGGAAAGGACTTCTTGGCCCTCTTCTCACCTCAGCCACCGCTAATGCCTCTGTGTGGTGGCAGCCACATTTTGACCCTGTAATAAACAGATTGGAACGGCTTCTGCCAGGAAAAATGTCAGGTGAGCCTAGATGGCCCTCAGGCGGGGAAACAGGAAATCCAAAATACTTTACTCTCATTTCTACCTACCAGAGACTAAAATACACCTGCCTGGAGATAAACCCATCTGGCTCCTCTTTAGAGGCATTGGTGGTATAGTGGTGAGCATAGCTGCCTTCCAAGCAGTTGACCTGGGTTCGATTCCTGGCCAATGCAGGGATGTGATGTTTTGGGGGGAGGGATAGCTCAGTGGTTTGAGCATTGGCCTGCTAAACCCGGGGTTGTGAGTTCCATCCTTGAGGGGGCCATTTAGGGATCTGGGGCAAAAATTGGGGATTGGTCCTGCTTTGAGCAGGGGGGTGGACTAGATGACCTCCTGAGGTCCCTTCCCACCCTGAGATTCTATGATTCTATATTCTATGATACCCTACAGACGTCAAAATCTCTTTCTGAACAAGCCCTTCCATCTCCAATGAGATATTACCCCAGGAGCTGGCTGGCATCTACCCTCCCTTTGATCAGAAACCTCTCTCGGTCAAGGCCAGAGGACAAGTGCTTTGCTGTCCGTGCCTGCCTGCCGAGTTGATGGTCAGGGATGGCTCCAGCATGAAAGTACATTGAAGGCGAACCCGAAGGAAACTATTGATCTTTCACATGTCCCGCGCCCCAGGACAATGAATCCAACCCACAGGTCACAGGATGCTCCATTGTGAGCACAGTAAAGGAAGCTGCAAAATAAATGAGAATTCAAGGATCTCACTCCCTTTTTTCCAGGCCTCTGTTAAGAGGCAATTGTGCACCAGGCAGGGTGGTTGGAAGCCGAAGACTTTATGCGTCCCGTCCCCCCCACCTCCCCATAGGGCTGGGGATCTGTCAGCTGTGGCCTGCAGGGGAATGGACCAATCAGCTGCGGATACAGAGAGGGCATCAGGCCACGCCTCCAGCCCGCTCTGCCTCCTGCCGCTTACTCCTGGGTTCTCGCCCCCACCAAGCCCCGTCCCGACCCCTGCGGGGGCGCCTCTGGCTCCCGCGTGCGGCTCCGCATCACCCCATCGCCCTTGACGGCTGGCAGGGGCCGCCGGTAAGAGCCCAGCCAGCGCGGTGTTTGCAGACACAGGAAGGGGCTGGAGCAGCTGGGAGCGGTGGGTGCCGGGAGGAAGGAGGCAGAACAAAGCCCCGAGACAAGGGGGGGCTGAGAGCCAGTGAACCAAACTGTGACCCCTGTGTATGATGGAAACCGCTTCCAGCCGGGGGGTGCGGCCGCCCCCCCAATTCCTGTGCACAGAGCTCGCAGCTCCCTGGGGTGGGGGCCCTGGCCCAGCTCCCCTGTGATCGGGGGGGGCTGAGCAGCTGCGCCAAACCCTGTGCGGTCTGTGCTGGGGGGGAGCCCGTCATTAACCCCTCCGTGCCTGGCTGGGGCGGGGGGGGGGACTTTCTCCAGCTGGGACCAGCCCCTGCGCCCGAGGCCCCCGGTGAGTGAGAGACCCGTGGGGAGAGTGCTGGGGGGGGGCAGAGGCTGGGGCCTGGCGGGGGGGGTCCCCTGTGGGGGGAGGTGGGGTGTCGGGAGGGGGGAGAAGCCAGAATTGTGGGGAGAGAAGATCGGGGGGGGGGGGTTGAACTATCTCTGTACAGCCAGGAAATTCCCAGGGGAGAAGTGGGGGGCGGGGGGGAGGTGAGTTAATTTGTTCTGGTCCCTGTTTGTGCCACTTGCCCCCCCCCCCAGTTCTCTCTCGTTCTTCCCCTTTTCTCTCCCAGTGTCACACGTGGCTGTAAAACCCGGGGCGATTCCCCCCCTTCCCCTCCAACCATCCACTCCCATGCCCCCCCCCCCCCCCCATAATCCTCAAATGTCCATTTACAGTCTCCTCCCATGGGGGGGGGGATTTTCCCACCCATTTTATCTGCAGCGATTTGTCCTTGTTCCGGTGGGAAATTGTCACCCTGAGTCATTCCCCCAAAGGGATCGGAGTCAGTGGGGGCTGTTTGGGGGAGCCCTGAGACCCGGCTGCCTCTGGGGTGGGGATGGGGATGGGGTGGCTGTTCTCCGCCAGCAACAGGGCAGGGAAGGGCACAGGAGAGGAAGGGAGGAGCACATGTCCCCCGTGGAGACTGGCCAGACCCCGGTTTCCCAATCCCAGTTGCTGCCCCCGAACTGCCAACACCGTCGCCCCCCGTCACCTGCCCATCCCCCACTGCTGCCCCCTTCCCTCACCCAGGGACCTTCCAGCTCCCCCTCCCCGGCCCTCTTCAATCAGCTCCTCAAAGGGCTCCCTGCTGCCCAGGTGAATCCTGGGTGTGGTGGGGGGAGGAACCATCACTTTCTGTCTGTGTTGGGCAGTCATATAAAATCCAGTCAAACTGTCCCCCTTTCCCCTCTCGTTATTTAATAGCGACCTAAAGTCCCCTCAGGTCTGGGTGTTTTTCTCTCGTGTTCTCAAATGCAGCGTTTGGGGCCTGCTTTTCTCTGCAAATCTCAAAGACTGATATCAAATACTCTAAAATTTTGCCCCTTTTCTCTCTAGGTGGCTGTCCCTGATTGAATCTGCCCAGAGGCTTTCCCCTGTCGCTCTAATTATAAAATACAAAGAAAATCTCAGATTTGGCCCTTTCTCAAATCCTTGAGCATGGGTCTCAAATCTTTGCAAATGTCGCCCCTTTTTCTCTCTTCACTGATCAGATATTGATGGGGAAACGCACTCAGATTTTACCTCATCTCCACAACTGACAGAAAATCCCTCAGATTTTCCACTTTTCTCTAACTTACAAAACTAGATCCACATTCCTCAGGTTTCCACCCTTTTCTCTTTCATTTCTCAACATTGATCTCAAATCTCAGGTTTTGCCTCTTTCTACGTCATCATCAAACATCAATTAAAAATCCTGGATGCGTCAGGGGAAATTGCCCAGTGATCGTCTTTCCCTCTCCTTTGAGAATCATTTGAATCATCTGAACTTTTTATAAATGTTCTCTGAACAAATCACATAACTCATAACTCACCCCTAAGAGGCTAACAATTTCCCTGGCCACTGCCTATAACCATAGGGGAGGGATAGGATACAGAAGGACCTAGACAAATTGGAGGATTGGGCCAAAAGAAATCTGATGAGGTTCAATAAGGATAAGTGCAGGGTCCTGCACTTAGGACGGAAGAACCCAATGCACAGCTACAGACTAGGGACCGAATGTCTAGGCAGCAGTTCTGCGGAAAAGGACCTAGGGGTGACAGTGGACGAGAAGCTGGATATGAGTCAGCAGTGTGCCCTTGTTGCCAAGAAGGCCAATGGCATTTTGGGATGTATAAGTAGGGGCATAGCGAGCAGATCGAGGGACGTGATCGTTCCCCTCTATTCGACATTGGTGAGGCCTCATCTGGAGTACTGTGTCCAGTTTTGGGCCCCACACTTCAAGAAGGATGTGGATAAATTGGAGAGAGTCCAGCGAAGGGCAACAAAAATGATTAGGGGTCTGGAACATATGAGTTATGAGGAGAGGCTGAGGGAGCTGGGATTGTTTAGCCTGCAGAAGAGAAGAATGAGGGGGGATTTGATAGCTGTTTTCAACTACCTGAAAGGGGGTTCCAAAGAGGATGGCTCTAGACTGTTCTCAATGGTAGGAGATGACAGAACGAGGAGTAATGGTCTCAAGTTACAGTGGGGGAGGTTTAGATTGGATATTAGGAAAAACTTTTTCACTAAGAGGGTAGTGAAACACTGGAATGCGTTACCTAGGGAGGTGGTAGAATCTCCTTCCTTAGAGGTTTTTAAGGTCAGGCTTGACAAAGCCCTGGCTGGGATGATTTAACTGGGAATTGGTCCTGCTTTGAGCAGGGGGTTGGACTAGATGACCTTCTGGGGTCCCTTCCAACCCTTATATTCTATGATTCTATGATTCTATGATTCATTCTTCTTGGGACTAGAAATGCTTTGCTGATAACTGCAATAAAATGTACGGGGCAGAGACACCTAACCCCAAGGTCGGCTGTCCAAACATTCCTTCTGTTTTCATGGAACCATAACTCCCTTTTCCCGACCTCCCATGGGAATACACAGGGTGGAGAAAGGGAAGAGGACAGGGTGTGACAAACCTGCCAGAACTCACTTAATAAGTGGCTTAGGTTCTGGGAACAGACCCATGAGGGTTCAGAAGTAGAAATACCCTAATTTGCGGATGGGGCTGTGTCGCGGGGTAGATACACCCGGCGAAGGGGTGTCCAGTCATGTACAGTCAGTGGGGAGCTTACGTCTCGGCTGCCAGAGTCTCCCGGATGGCCTAACCCATAAAACAGGAGAGCGTGACCTAGCGGTCACAGTTATTTGGCTACCTTTGCTCCCCGGGGCAGCGTGACCTAGCGGTCAGAGTCTGTGGGCTACCCTTACGCTCAGGGCAGAGTGACCTCACAGTCAGGACAGATTTTGGGCCACCATCCAGGGGCTGTGGCCATAGAGCAGGGCGGAGCGGCAAACACCCAGTCTCAAGAGTGCAATGTTGTAACTCCAGTGAACTGGACTAGTGTCTCTTTCCCCTGGGCCACTTCCTACCAGGTCCTCAGGGTCCACAGGTCCTCTGGGTCTCTCGGGTCGTCGGCTGGCGCGGTCTATGGTGTCTCAGTCCCTTCCGGGGTCTCTGCAGGGTGTCCGGTGTCCCCCTGGCCTCTGTGGACTGGGGCTCCCACAGATCCCTGGAGGGAGGTCGCAATGTGCATCCTTCCTCCTTGGCAGTGCAGGCCGGCAGACGAGTTGCTTTCCTTTGTATCCTGCTTCGGGGCTGAGCATGCCTAGCAGGCATGGAGGGGTGTAGTTTCCTCGGCCTACAATGCACAGCTAACCCCATCATGGCCTGTGCGGAGGAGATAGATCTCATCACAGGCGTGGAAAACAGCCCAGACTCCCAGTGCTGGAGCCTGACCCGACTCACCAGCGGCTGCTGTGAAATAGGAAGGGGGCACCCTCCACTCAGATTTCGGGGAGATTCCCCTCCCTCATATCCACCTCCTCACAAGGAGGAGGGTGTTGGGCTTCTGACCAGGGAGCTCGCCCTGGACCCTGCTCGGGGCAGCATCTCCTGTATCAGGCTGTGGCTAGTAGGTGTGTGATGGATCTGCTGGGAGAGAGGAGGGGTGTCTCTTCGCCCCTCACCCTGGTGTTTCCTGGATGCTCTGAGCAGGGTGCTCTGTTGACCCACCCAGAGCTTCCATTTGATCGGCTCCTCCCCCCCACGAATAGTGGGGCTGCGAGTGGGGCAGCAGGCACTGAGGGTTGGACTCTTGCTCTTTCAGGGGCCGGTGACCTTCGAGGAGGTGGCTGTGTATTTCATCAGGGAAGAGGGGGCTCTGCTGGACCCGGCTCAGAGAGCCCTCTCCAGAGACGTCATGCAGGAGAACTACGAGAATGTGACCTCGCTGGGTAAGGATTCCTGACCCCTCGGTTCTTAGAAGGGGAAATGCAGAGTTAAGGTTCATGTCACCCCCACAATGTAACCTTAACTCTGCCCTGTTTCAGCATGACCCCGACATGCGAATGACACACACACCAGCCCTGTGCCCTGCTCACTACAGAACACCCTGGGAACAGAGCACAGGAGAACTACAGCACGGTGTCAGATTTCTCCTGTTTGCTCAGGTAAAACGGGGGGTTGGGTCCAGCATAACGAACAGAAGCTTCCAACCCCTGCCCCTCTCTCAAACACTGAGCCTGCTCCACGCAAACCAGCTCCGTCTTGCAAAGTGATCCCACTCGCCTACCCTCACCATGAGTCTGAGTTCCTTCTGAGTCGTTGTCTTCACTTGCCCCTCACTAAGCCCTGGAGACCACTAGTGTGTATCCCACCAGGGTGCTGGCAATCCTCAGGGCAGGAACCCCTTGTGCACCTTCACTGACACAACCTACAACACTGAGCACTGAAATGGGGCAGGCTCGGTCCCTCAGGGGTCACGTGCACCTCTCTGCATACTAGTCACAGCTCTGCCAAGCTGCTCCAAGTACTCCTTCCACCGTCCGATTACGGCTACACCTGACCCAGTGCACACAGCCGGAGGGGATGTGGATAAATGCTGGGATTCCCGTCTGGAGAACACAACACAAACAACGGCATGTTCTTAGTCCTTCCTGGTATCTGTTCTAGATCCATAGGTTTGTAACGCCAGAAGGGCTGGTTTAGGTTATGTAGTCTGATCTCCTGTACAACTGTGACGGGACCCCCAGGGTGCAGCCTGGGACTGTGGGATCACTTTGCCCCCTGAACTGTCTCCGGCCTGGGTTATCCCTCACAATGCCTCGCCAGTGACCAGCAGCAAACCCCTCCAGGCGCTGTGATCACTCAGCACAACCTGATGTGGAGACCCCACACCCAGCTAGGCTGCATGAACGCTCCCAGAGCCGCTCACGAATCACACAGAGACCGGCACCAGCCAAATCCCCGTCCCCGCTCCCAGCCTTGCACCTCGGGAATATACCGTCTTGCACTGCTCAAGACGAGCAATGCAAATTTATTAATTGGTTCCCCACTTCGTCAGTGGAAAGTGGACACATACCAGCCTTTGCAAAACCTGAGCAGATTTACCATACGCTTCAGGGAAACTCATTGGTAAAGATAAACAGTAAAACAAATCTATTGGCTACAAAAGATAGATTTTTAAGTGACTATAAGTGATAGGCAAAAAGTCAGAGTGGTTACCAAAATAAAATGCCAGCACGCAGTCTAAACTCTCAACCCTATTAGACAGGGCAACAACTGGATTAAGCAGGTTTTCTCACCCCACTGGATATTGCAGTTCATAGGACACAGGTTTGTCCCTTAAACCTGGGCCAGTCTCCTCTGTTGGCGTCTTCAAACTTCTGAGCGTGTTTGTTGTTTGCAGCATAGGTGGGGGCAGGAGAAAGGCCAGGCAAGTGGCCCCTGTGTTCTGTTTTATACCCTTAGTCCAGGTGCTTGGAGAACACAAGCCCAGGCATGTCTGGGGACATTGCCTAGTCCCCAGACAAGGTTTAGCAATTCTCCTGGTGTGGCCTCATGCAGGTGAGCCATTGCATTATAGCTCCCTTGTTGGACAGTGGCTGGTGATTTCTGTTCAGCGCCCACCCGGGTGTTGGTTACCTCCCTTGTCATTGTCTCAGGAAAGCTAGTATCTGGGCACCTCCCAAACCCACAGCGTGTTTTAGTTACAACCACACAACACAATTCTCATAACTTCATATGCACTGAAGAGAGACACATTTAGATAGAGCAGTGGCTTTCAGCAGATCATAACCTTTTTCTTGATACCTCACACGGCCTGCTTTATATGCAATATGCAATTATATATAAATGAGGAATATGGGGGTTGCCAGGCGCTCCCCCAAGGCATGGAAAGTCACAATAACTCGGGCAATAGAATTTCATCCAGTTACGGCTGTCCTGAGCTGAACACCTTGTGTTTGACTAAATCCTATTCAAAAAGGCATCCAGCCTTGACACGAAGACTTCAACAGAGGGAGAATTCTCCAGTTCCCGTGGTCGTTTGCTCACCTTTCCAGCACCTTGACAGAACCGTTCCCAGTGGCTCTTACCAGCTGCAGGGTTGGGAGCACAGTTAAGGATGCATTGCAGGGGTAGTGTGTATGTTAACTTCATTTTCTGCTTTGCAGAGGTTTATGTTTAGCCACCGTCCATATGGTGAAAGGTAGGAGACAGCTCTGGGCACCCTTAACTCTGCAGTAAAGTAGTTTCTGGGCATTTGGTTTCCTTCATTTTCTGTAGTGGACTTTTTGCCACTCTACCTCTGTCTACACTTGAGCTTTTGCCAGCATAGATAGGTTGGATTTGCAGGGGAAGGGAGCGGGAGGGAAAGTGATTTTTCATCGCCCGAAACAATTGAGCTACCGCAGCAAAACTTTCAAGAGCAGACTGCGTCCGAGGCTGCATGTGGATTTTACAGCACTTCAAAATATTCCCAGCAGGGACGCGATAGACTCACACACACTGCTGGACCCTCTGAGTGTCTCCCTGGAGAGTCCAGCCCCTGCTCCGTTGGACGCTCACAGTACTCACAGATTCACAGCTATAGCACCTTCAGAGTGACCCTTCCCATCAGCGATCCACTTAACCCAGCACTTAGATGTGTTTAGAGTGAAAACAAGGAAATGTTTATCGAATGAAGTCTCGAATTGTAAGTGACGGCAAGCAGAGGTATTGGGGAAAACGACACTCAAGTACAATGAGAGCACGGTTCCTAGGACCCACGCTTAAGAACTCGATCCTCTCATGTGTTGTAAATGCTCGTGCAAAATGCTTATTGTCTGTTGGTGAGACAAACCATGCTGTCCGCTTGCCGCCATGCTGGAAGATGCAGGGAGGGTGTGCCCCTGTACGTCCAAATGTACCTCAACGTGCCATTCATAGACCGGATCCTGCTGCTGCTTTGTGTGTGTGTAAATTCCCTCTCTCGCAGATTTCACAAGCTCTTCATTAGGCATGATTATGTACAGCTGGGAGAACTAACAGTTCTTCAAGATAACATCTCTCAGTGGGTCCTCCTTAACCCCACAATCATCCTTCCCTGTTGATTTCCCCAACAGGAAATATCTGCTGTAACGTTCATCCCTTATTAGTTTCCCAAGTCTATATGTGCTTATGCCAGCATTATGGATATGTGTTAAAGAGAGGGTTTCCAAGCTTATCTGCAGTTGTATAGACATGGAAGGTGTGCAAGACTGTTAAAATATAGAATAATAGAGAGCATTCCTGAACCGGGTCACTTACCGGTCAAGGGTCGGTGTTCTGGGCCTTAGAATTCAGAGAGACTCTTTGTTGAACTAAAAGTATTAATATTTAATAACCGGTACCAACAGGATCCTGGTCAACGACTGAGAATATGAGCATTACAGTAATACAAATAATAAATAACAATAATTGGCAGGTCTAAGCGGTGGGGGAGAGAGCAGGGGAGTGGCCAGTCGGTGGTAGGCTGGTGGGGGGTAGGTTTGGGGTGAAGAGTTCCTGTGAGCTGGGACGTCTGGGGGCAGTGGGGGGCTGGAAGATCTGGGAAGGAGTTGAGTTAGCATGCCGAGGAGTTGGAGGGGGGGAGTAGCGGGTAGGTGGGGGCTGGGTAGTGTTTGCTCCAGGAAATGGGGGAACTAGCAATGGGAGGGAGGGAAGAGGAGCTCTTGGGAGTCAGAAGCAAAGAAGACTTGGGGCAGTGGAAAGGTGAGTTGGAAAACGATTGGGCAGTGGGAAATTTGGGGGAGCCTGTAGTGAGGAAGGCAGTGGCAATGGGAGGGGAGGAAAAAACACAAGGAGCAGGTGCTCCGGGGGCGGTGGGATGAGAGCAGAGTGGTTGAGAGCAGTGGGATGAAGGGGAGTGGGTGTGAAAATCAGGGAGCAGGCTAGTGCAGCCTGTCCCCTTCCTGGTCTGTCTCATAAGAGCGGCCAGACTGGGTCAGACCAAAGGTCCATCCAGCCCCGTGTTCTGTCTTCCAACAGTGACCAATGCCAGGTGCCCAGAGGGAAAGAACAGAACAGGGAATAATCAAGTGATCCGTCCTCTCTCTCCCGTTCCCAGCTTCTGGCAGACAGAGGCTAGAGACATCATCCCTGTCCATCCTGGCTAATAGCCATTGATGGACCGATCCTCCATGAATTTATCTAGTTCTTTTTCGAACCCTGTTATAGTCTTGATCTTCACAACCTCCTCTGGCAAGGAGTTCCACAGGTTGACTCTGCGTTGTGTGAAGAAATACTTCCTTTTGTTTGTTTCCCAGAAGCTGGGAATGGGCGACAGGGGATGGATCACTGGGCGATTCCCTATTCTGTTCATTCCCTCTGGGGCACCTGGCCCTGGCCGCTGCCGGAAGACAGGACCCTGGACTAGCTGGACCATTGGTCTGACCCAGTCTGGCCGCTCTTACATTCTTATGTAGATAGCTAACTCTAGTTCAAGTAATAAGTGGTACCATTTGTCTCTCTTGATTAGCAAAGAATCCTTATTATTCCTCTGAATGGTTCAGGGAAAAGTAGCCATTGCAGAGCACATGATTTGGGGAAAATTCAGATGCTGCTATTTCTTACCAAGTGTATCCAAGGCTGCTGGAAGCCAGAATCTGCCGGGGTGCAAGAAGCAGGCTGCTGGTCCAGGGTTATTTATCTCACAGACATTCAGTGCGTCCTTGAATGCTGGCTGGGAGCATCCAGACAAGGGAGCTCCAGCAGAACATTTCAGATCACCCAGGATTACAGATGACACAACTCCGCACTGGTCTGGATTGCCCCCCCAGCATGTGACAATGGCCTAGGATGGTAGTGAAACATCTTGAGTCTTGCTCCCCCATCACCATGTGCAATAGCCACAATCTCTCTTCTCTGCAGGCTCCTTGGATCTTGGGCTCCATCGTTCCTGAAGTCACCTGGCCTGATTCTTACTTTTCACATT